TCGAGAGGAGACGAGATGTAGAAAGCATAGCGCATGTATAAGTATAGGTAGTTAAGCAGCTCTAAGATTCTCTATCGATGACCTTCTTGCGCATTTACTCCTCGTAGCCGTCAAGGTCCGAGTCCGAGTAGTACTCGCCACGCTTCTCGGCGTCCTTCTTGGCCTTGAGCTTGGCCTTGAGCTCCTTGCGGGTGAGCTTTCGCTTGACCTTGGTGACGACCTTGTTACCGAAGGCGTCGACCGACTCCTCGGCGTCGATCTGCTCGATCTTGGTCTTGTCTTCGGCGACCTGGCCCTCGATCGAGAGCTGACCGGCGACGACGTTCCACGTCTCGATGGCGAGCGCGTCCGTGAATTCGCGGTTGTGCGAAATCATCACGACACCACCGCCGAACTCCTTGATGGCACCGGCAAGGGCACCGAGCGAGTCGCGATCCAAGAAGTTGGTCGGTTCATCGAGCACAAGGATGTGCGGGTTGAGCCACATGGCAGCGGCGAGGACGACCTTGACCTTCTGGCCACCCGAGAGACCGCGCATGCGCGAGTGCGTACCGAACTCGGCGCCGAGGCCGAAGTTGTCGAGGTGCTTCTGGACAGCGAGGGCCGTGACGGGGCGGGCCTGCATGTTGGCGCGGGCGGCTTCGCGATCATCGGCGATCTGGAGGATCTTGTCGAAGCCCCACTTCTCGAGCTTCTCACGCGGGATCCACGAGTTCTCCGTATCGGGGAGCTTCATCCACTTGACCTCGTACTCGAACGACTTCTTGAGCTTGCGGCGGTTCTCGATCGACTCGAAGACGCGCTTCTCGCCCTCCCAGTTGACGGGCTTGGAAAGGAGCTCCTTCTCTTCCGGGGTCAGCTTACGCGTCTCCTTGGCCATGAGTTCCTTGTCCTCGCCGGACTGGAAGCGCCACTGGATGTACTGGTTGGCCGAGATGTCCAAGTGCTGCTCAATGTGGTGGAACGCGTGCTGGGCCACGTACGCAAAGCGCATCGCCGGGTGCTTCCACACCGAACCCTGGGTGGGCTCGGTTTCACCCGTGAGCATCTTGATCATGGTCGACTTGCCGGCACCGTTGGGGCCGATGACAGCGATACGCGACGAGAGCGCGCACGTGATCGAGATGTTGTTGATCGACGGCTTGGCGCAGCCCGGGTACGTGTACGAGCAGTCGGTCAAACGAATGATCGGCTTACCCTTGTTCTTGATGTCGGCGAGGAAACCCGGCTCCGGGAACTTGAACGCGATCGTGGCCGCGTCAAGGTCATAGTAGGCCTTGGCCTCCGGGCGGAGCTCGACGAACTTGGACATGTTGCCGACGTACGTCTTGAGCTTGCGGTTCTTCTCGTAGTGGATGATGTTGGTGCAGACGTTGTCGAGGAAGCCCGAGTCGTGCGACACAATGAGCGACGTGATCGTCGTCATCGACGTGAGGTAGTTCTCGAGCCACGCGACGTTGGCGACATCCAAGTGGTTGGTCGGTTCATCGAGGAGGAGGATGTCGGCCTTCTGGAGCATGGCGCGAGCGAGTTCGAGCTTCATCTTCCAGCCACCCGAGAGCGACCCGACGGCCTGCGCCTGCATGGCGTCCGTGAAGCCGACCGACGAGAGCGTGTCGGTGACTTCCTTGCGGGGCATGTCCTTGAAGTCCGGATCGTTGAGGACAAAGTCGACGACCGAGAGGTCGGCTTCCTCGGCCTGGAGGTTGTGCTCGACGTACACCGTCTTGAGCTCGTCCTTGGACGGGAAGCCCTCGAGCTGGCCGTTGGCAATGGCGCGCATGAGCGTCGACTTGCCGCAACCGTTGGGGCCGCAAAGACCGTAGCGGTGACCCTTCTTGAGGTTCATGCGGGCGTTGTTGAGGAGGATCATACCACCGTACGCGAGCGAGAACTCGCAGTCGCAGAGGTCCTCACCAACATCGTCCTGGACGACGTCGTCGGCGACCTTGACCTTGTTGTCCTTGTAGCACTTCTCGCGGAAGGCCTTGGTCACGTGCGGGATGTCGGCATCCTTCATGAACGCACCGAAGTACGGGCGCACCGACTGCGACCACTCATCCGGCTTGAAGTTGCGGGCGACCGTGAGGTAGAGACCGCAGCCAGCGACAAAGTTGAGCGTGGCGTCGTCGATCGTGGCCTTCTTGCCGTTGGCATCGCCAGCGAGCGAGAACTTGAGGGCCTCCAGGATCGAGGAGAACTCGACCTTGGTCTCGTCTTCCGAGAGCTCGACCGAACCGGCGGCCATGAAGAGCGTCTCGTGGGCGCGCTTGCACACGTCACGGCACTCGGGGTCGGCGACCGACTCGATAATGCGCTTGAGCGTCGGGAGGACCTTAGGCGTGAAAAGCATGGCCTCAGCCGGGTCTTCGACGAGCTTGCACATGTTGTCAATGATGACAGCAGTCTGGCGCTTGACCGACGTCTTGTTCTCGTTCAGACCACGCACGAGGAGCGGCTCCATGATGGCGAGGGCCGGGGCCTCGACCGTCTTGACAAACGTCGTCGACGCGAGCTTGTGCACGCACTCGGAGACTTCAGCCGGGTTGGCAATGCACGAGATGAGCGCGGGGATGAAGGGCTCGATATCGGCGTTCGACGCCGTACCGCAGGCCTTGATCATGAGGGCGTGGGCGGCCTTCTTGACTTCGGGGCGCGTGTCCCAGATCTGCTCCGAGGCGTTCGGCATGATGTCGGGCAAGCAGCGCGAGAGCTGGACGGGGTGGAGCTCGGCGAGGTCGTTGATCAAGTTGAGCGCACCTTCCTTCGTCTGCCACTTCTTGGTGCGGTCAAGGCCCGAGAAGATCTGCGGGAGGAGCACACGGAGCGCGTTGTGGTTGGCGGCCTGGACGATGGCCTTGGCGGCGGCGGCAGCCGGCGCACGGACCTGCATCTTCTTGTCCGTGTACAAGTCGAGGAGAGCGCCGAGGAGGGGCGCGAGGTAGGGCTCGACGCGCGCTTCCTTGTTCTCCGCGATGGCGGCAATGACGGCGCACACGATCTGGCGCGTGTTGGCGTCGTTGTCGGCCAAAGCGGCAGCCAACTGCTGCGCGGCGGCGTTGAGGTCAAGCTCCTTGTTGTTCAAGACAAGGGCGGCGACCTGCGACGCGGCGACCGAGGCGTTCTCGGCGCCGGCACCGAAGGCCTGCTTGAGCGCTTCCGTGAAGTGTTGGCTGGCCATTGTTCTTTGAGGCGAAAGCAAAAGTGAGCGCGGTAGCGTGCACGCTCGCCACGGGCTTGTTGGCCAGTCAATCACACCTGCCCAATCCTCGGGCAGCAAGTGCAGATTGCCCTTTCTACTCGGCTTGAGTATGGCGGTGTCGCCACGACCGACTCTCGGAAACCTCTCATTTCGCATATCCTCTGTCGTATGGTCTGGCCACGTCCGTGCATCGTCACGTGTACTGTCTGTCAAAACCTTTGAGAATGCATATCCGACGAGATACGATAGCAAACATTGGCAGGAGGTCCTGCGGCGGCTGGTCGGCGAGGATCTACGAAGTTCGAGTTGGCCGCGTCGCGCGTGTGACCAACTTGGCGCACAGGCGAAGTTCGAAGCTCACATCGCCAATGAAACGCTGCGAAAAAGGACTGGATTGTGGGTGAATTGGCGGCGTTTCGAAATTCGCCTCGGTTGGTTGGACGCCGTCGATCCAAGCAGATTCGACGTCGCTTGGTCTTTGTATGGGAGAGGTCACGCGGATCACATGCGATCTTTCTGCAAAATGGCGCTGGAAGATGTGATTGGCATGCGCAAAAGTCTCTGCAGCATGGCAAACAAGGCGACCCTCCGATGACGACGACGGTGATGTCGCGCGCCGCTACTGCTTGCACGGCCTGAGAATGCGACCTGCGACCAGTGCTTTTTGGAACGCAAGCGCACTGTAACAGAGTAGCAAGATCAAGCACTGGCCGCGCATGTTGTTGAGCCAACAGAAGTATCGGAGACGTGAGTATCCTGCGCCTGCGAAAGGTCCCTGGATCATCATCTCGGCCGGAGAAGCATCGCCATGGCGCTGGCTGCTTCGAACTTCGGTCGCCCCTCGTTTTTACTGACGGTTTCAAGTGGCCAATCATGCGCCGGAACGTAGCGGATCTGAAACGGTCTTGGCCAATCACCGAGGATGCTTCGTTTAGGATCAATTTACTTAATTTAGGTTGGCCAGGATATCCGCCCACCGGGAAAAAACCCGCCCGCAGCAACGGAGTGCAAGGTTGATGACGCCCGTGCCACGACGAAGCTTGCTGGCGTCGGCGCGGACGACGGCCACCAGCGCATTACATGTAGGGTGTCGCTGGTAGTAGCACTCCCGAGCGAGACCTTGCAGTAGGTGGAGGTGGCATGGGTGTTGGCCAGCCTTTCGAAGTCGTAGTATCTTTGGATCAAGAAGCAGAAGAGCGAGGATCGCTTGCCCGTGCCGACGCTCCACCAGCCTGGCGAGATGCACGAGCGCAGCATGCGACGCCTTCGCTGTAGAGCTATTGTTGTGCTGATCATGCTGTGACAGGCTCGTTGGTGCGCTTGCGATCTAGTCGTTGACTGTATGGCAGTGTGCAGAGCTGGAACGAGTAGTTGTAGTTACTCGTACTAAACCAAGTCGGTCGAGCTCACGCAAGCATGTGAGCACTCCAGTATACCATGCCCAAGCCAGGATGAGTAGTCCTCCTCGACGTGACCGGATCAAGCAAGTCGCGTTTGCAGCGGTCGACATGGAAACGAAGCGCAGATCCGTTCGAACCAACTCCAGAAGCCATGTCGTCGCCTACATAAGGCCATTCCCACACTTGTGTCTTTCGCATGCTGTAGTCATCTCGTGTCGACGCAGATTCCTCCTCGGTGGGCACACAGTACGTCCAACACACGGTCGTTCTTGAAGGCTTGACGCCGGCGAATGACCGCGGTCTGGTTGTACCAGGTGAAATCTCCTCATCTTACGTGGCGACACCACAAGCGCACGTCGGATGACCCGGATGATCCGCGAGCATGGTGGGCCTTCTTCTATTCTCAAATGCATCCACACCAGCTTCTGGCCCTATGCCATCGAGCCGTGTAGACGTTGAAATTGCGCTGCCCTGCGCTGTGCTACGCACTACGTGGCCGTACATTTATGCCACTGGAGCATCATCTCGCGCGATCTCGCTCGGGCATGCAGAAGCCACCGTTCGACGACGTGAGAAACGACTTCGACGCCTGTCGCTACAAGTACTGCCGTCAACGACTCTCGTCCGAGGTCCTGTTGCCTGCTCACCGTAGCAGACGCCACTCTGATCCGAGCGTCTTTGAACATGGCGCATGGGTTTCGTCCGACGTGTGGGCATACGCATCCAACATCTCCTCCAGCGCAGAGTACGACGCAGTCGCCTTCGTTTCCATTCGAAGGACGGCCTTTGTGTTGCGAGAAAGAAGCGTGTCGCCTGCCGACGCCGTGTATCCAAATAGAAGCAGCAAGCCCCGTCGCAGCCCACAGCGCAGCTTCTCTTGGGTCATGCTTTCGCCTCGAAAGTGGGACGGGAGCAGTGAGTCACACGCTGGACGTACCTATTCCAGGCCCACGACCGATTCACTGGCTGCGGAGGGTTACGGCCAGATTGGTCGCGATGCTCTTCGCTGCATGGTTCGTGCTCCGACGACCTTGCTTTGTCCACGACGTGGCAAGCCGATGGGCCAGAGATCGATGCTTCCGCAGCGCGGGCGCGCGCCATTCGATTGTTTGCGCTGGCGCTGTTCTAAACACATGTGTTTGCAACAACCCATGGATACAAACGTCGACACGGATGTTTTGAACACACGATCTTACGTGTTGGATACGCCGATGAGTGCGATCTCCATATATAATATTTCACGGGTTGTAAGTATACATAAAGTTCGTTTCGCATGTAAGGCACCTATTCTAAAACACAATATATGCAATGACAAAGGTTATCATGGCGGCTGAGGCCAGGAGATCTTTGAGCTCTGGGTCATTTTCCAACTTGCGACCGACCGAAGAAGCCGCCGATCAAGACGCTTGGACACGATGGCCCCTTCCCCGACGACCATCGCCGCCAACCTCAGCGAGGCCCTCAAGCAGGCCTTCGGGACGACCCCCGAGAACATGGCGGTCGCGGCCGACCATGTGGCCGAGCTCGCCGCCGGCGCCAAGGACGTCGGCAGCTTGACGGCCCTCCTTAATGAGGGGCTGACCTCGACGGATGCGAACCATCGGCAGAGCGCATGCGTCGTCGTCAAGACGATCGCCGAGAAGAAGGTCGCTCGCCTGGAGCCGTACGTGACCCCGGTGCTTGGGCACGTCCTCGACTTGTACACGGACAAGAAGATGCAGGTCCGCGGCCCCGCGGCCGAGGCCGCCAAGGCGATCGTGCATGCGACGAACCGGAACGCGATCCGTGTGCTCCTCCCACAGATCTTTGGCGGCATGGACCGTACGAAGAAGTGGCAGACCAAGGCCGGCGCGTTGGATCTGATCAACGAACTCGCCGAGCTCCACCCCGTCCAGGTCTCGCGCTGCCTCCCCGACATCATCCCGAACGCCACCGAGCAAATGTGGGACACGCGCCCCGAAGTCAAGAAGGCCGCCCA